CCTCCCCAAACCGCACGCCTATCTTCGCCTCATTCTCCGCCTTCCAATCCTTGTACATGAAGTTCTCCATGAACTTGCAGTCCCTGCTCACCAAGAACTTCTTGGTGAATGGGTCCCAAAGAAGCCATCCCTTGCTGTTTTGAGCCATGCCCAAGTGCACGGCCCACACCGCCTTGGCACCAAGCTTGTTGTGCCGAAGATGCTTAGGCACGAGCGCCATGCACATGCACCTGAACACCCGAAGCATATCCACCTTTGGCTTCCTTCCTAGCCACTCCACATAGGGCACCCATTTGTCTGCTTCCACATGAGTCAAGGCTCTGTTCTTGGCCACACACGCGCTCCGCACCGCATCAGGCCAGAAATAGTCGGGTAGCCCGGCTTCAATGAGCAACCCGCGTGCCGCCTCCGTGATTGTGCGGTTCGCTCGCTCGGCGATGCCGTTCATTGCAGGGGAGTATGGCATGGTGAGGGAGTGCCGAATACCATTCTTCTTCAGCCACAACCCAAACTCCTTGCTCAGGAACTCTCCCCCTCGATCGGTGCGGATTGACTTGACTAGACGGTCTTGTTGCCGCTCCACCATCGGGAACCAATCTGTCTTCAACGTTTCAGCCACGTCGCTCTTCTTGGCCAGCACGTACACCCAAGTCATGCGGGTGTAGACGTCGACAATGGTGAGAAAATACTCAGCTCCAGCAGCTCCAAGCTTCAGGGGGCCCACCACGTCCATCACCACCTCATCAAGCGGTGCCTTTGCCGTTGCCTCCGAACTAGGGAACGGAAACCGGGTGAACTTGGCTTGAATGCACGTCGGGCAGCCAAGCACCTCATCGGGCTCCCCCTTCACACGTATGCCAGCAACCATCTCATTCTTCACTAGCTGCTGCAAGATGGGCAGGGCCACATGCCCCATGCGCCGATGCAAGGTGAGCCAATCACACTCCCCCGTAGCTGAAGTTGGATTGGAGAATGCCGCGCTCGCAATAGCGCCCCACATACTCTCTCCGTAGTCCTCCTCCGCTGCTGCCTCTGGGTTCTCCTCACCCTTTTGATGCTCCTTGGTTGCTGCACCACTCTCCTTAGGTTCACTGAACTTGGTGGTCCCTCCAGGTTTGCTCTTCTTGAGCTCATTCTCCTTAGCGCGACCGTTCGCGCCATCGTCGCTACCGACCGCTCCATCCTTGGTGCTGATGCTTGCTGCCACTTGCCTCTCCTTAGGCATAGGGACCACTGGGATCTGCCACATCTCGTTGTAGACATCCCTGTCCTCATGAAGGTCCCAAAGAATTCGATCGCCAAGCCTTGCGGTGTAGGTCTTGGCTCCCTTCGAGTTCGTGTCCATGCCGGCCTTTGCCAACCGCCGCACGGAAATCAGGTTTGCAGCAAGGCTGGGCACCTAAAGCACGTTCTTGAGGCCCACCATCTTCCCATCAGCACCCTTGAACATGGCCTTGCCCATGCCTTTCACCTCTGCTCGTTGCCCCAAAGCCGATGTGACATGCTTCAACGGTGACGGCTCGAGTTCGGTGAGCAAGTCCGGGCGAGGTGTCATGCTATAGGTAGCGCCACTATCAATCACCCAATAGTCCAGGGGGTGTAGGGTCACCTTCCCCACAGCTGCTGGCTCCTCAAAGCCTTCATCCTTCTCTGGACCAGCCGGTACTTGCGTCGACACGAAGTAGAATAGACCCGGGTATCGATCGTCGCTCGGGTCCTTGTCGTTGTCTCCGCTCTTCATGTTTGCAGCTCCGCCACCGCGACCGCCACGGCCTCCACGGCCTCTTCCTCTCCCTCCTCCTGCTCCTCTACCCTCTTGGCCTTGAGCAGGGGTCCAACCATCAGGGAGTTTGTAGCAGTCGCGCCACATGTGTCCGCTCTTGTGGCAATAGTGACACTCGCCGTCGAATCGGCCGCGACCGCGTCCGTAGCTCTTGTCGTCGCTGCCGTAACCGCCACTCCTACGGCCTCCGCCGAAGTTGCTGCCACCAAACCTTCCTCCCCCTTGTCCTCTGCCTCTTCCTCGACCATATCCACGGCCGATGCTCGCTGCCCCAGCGCCATCCGCACTCGCCAACTCACGGCGGCGGAAATCCTCTTGAAGGATAGCTCGCTTCACGTCTTCAAGCGAGAGGCGGGGCAAGTCGCGATTAAGGTTGATGATGAGCGAGGACCATGACTCTGGGAGTAAGGCCAGCAACTTGGTCTTCTTTTGGAGCTCACTGTAGTTCAAATCAGCTCCCTCAAGCCGCGTCAACAAGTCGAAGAATTTCTGCACCCCTTCTTCAACCGCTTCGTCTTCTTCAATTCGTAGTGCCGCCATTTGCCGTTCCAACACCACCGCTACCGCCGCTGTTGCAGGAGCATGTACACCCTTGAGAGCAGCCCATGCCTTTGGTCCTTTCTCTGGTTCACGCTGGAATGGCTTGATGTGACGGATCTGACTGCTCCCCAACGCTTGCCCAAGTAAGAGATAGCCTTGTGCGCTCTTCCGCACCCACGGACTCTTCTCCGGGTCGTTCTCGGGGCGCTTCTCCGTTCCTTCCATCACCTCCAGCAGTTCATAGTGGTCAAAGATGTTCTCCATCTTGAAAGACCATTCAGCAAAGTTGTCACCGTTGAACTTGTCAAGCCCAAACACCCTAGGCTCATCCCTAGGTGGGCCAAGACTTGGTTGCATGGGCGCCATGGCTGAATCACGGGGTTGGCCTTGAGCTTGAGCTTCTCCACTGCCACCAGCACCTCTGCCACCCCTTTCCTCAGGTCCAGACATTGTCGAAACTGCTCCAAAGGGCTCTGATACCACTTGTTATAGGCACAATAGGCTTGAATGTGCCTAAAACGAAAGATAGAGAGCACAGACGGATTTCTGCACAGCGGCTTCAAACGTTGATAGCGTTCTGCTCACAGCTGCAAATGACTTGATTCAAATTGGATCTGGAGCGTCTTCACGTCGTCTACAATTAGCAATTTAGATTGCACGATTTGATAAAGAATTGACGACACAGCGTCGGTTTGAACGAACGGTACTATGGCAGCCACTATAGTCTTAGAACACAAGATAGGAAGAGTTAGGAAGAGTTACGAGTTGGGAATGACTCCCAGCTCCTACAAACCCCAAGAGCCGAGGTACAGTGATGTGGAACAGTGCCACACTGTCCCCAACCACGAAGGGTCTCGAAACTACCCTTCACTAGGGCCTACACCAAGTGAAATGTTACACTACACAAAGTAATGTAACTATCTTCAATATCTTGAGGTGTACCCTTTTGGCGAGCTTCGAAATCACTTGAGGCTTGACACCAAGGCTCGGGCTCTTCATCACAAACTCATCCTTGAGTTCTTGATGGGTCTGCTGCACACACCTGCGACACACCGAACGTTCGACACAGGACAAAATAGAAACCGCGCACGACAAAATAGAAACCGCGCGCGAGACACAAACGACCGCGTAACACGCGTCTAGCGATAACTCGCTATTGACTCGACACACACACTCGACATCATGACTCAACATTCACACACAATTATAAGCATGAAATATATATTATCCCATGCCCTCATACCATTCCATACACACACACATGCACGCACACGGACAACAAGCCGAGTGCAAACCGTAGGGTTGCACCAACAGAACTGCCCCTGGTAATCGCCGATGAAGTTGTAGCTGGTGTAAGTGGACTGCGTGATGGTTGCCGTAGCGAGGTCGTCTATGTAGGGGCAGACGTAGCGAGTGTGGCATCCGCCAGCAGGCATGTTAGTTGCATCCGCAGCATGCAGTACCAGGCCGATGAGCGCGAGGATTACGGAGAAGCTGCTAGGGAAAGCCATATTTGTGCTGGAGATAGTAGTAAGAATGGAATGCTGAGCAGGCAAGTTTCTAGACTTCCAGAGAGGAGGCTGGTCGTTTCTGGTACGAGTTGAGAATTGTGTCTGATAAATACTTCCCCTGGGGTGTGCCGTATAAGTTCACTTGAATGCGGTGAAGTGCGATGATGTGCATATCAGAGCGGCTCGTTTACCATTCTTTGCTTTTGTGGAAGGTGAACCACGCTTGCTGCTGAAGCAGCTTGGTTTTCGAAATTGCTGTTTTGGCTGGCGCAATAAGCCCACAGTGAGTCGCACCCACATGCTTTGGGGAAATCGTAGCACCATTTGCCGAAGCGTAACGCAGTCATACCGCACTGCATATCATGAAATATGTGCAACCCACATCGAGTCGCGTTTTGAAAGACATTTGCCGCACCGTAACGCGCTTCACCGTACGGAAACCCTCAGAGGCAATGTGTACAGCAGCCAGTCTCGCGCACGTTGGGCAAGGCATGGGCTATGTGATCTGCCCACTGCCCAGCGTGGCGGACAAGGTTCCAAGATGCGCCAATAGCCCATTGGCTTCGGCGCCAGAAGTGATGTGTGTTGCGTAGCCGCCATTGGTTTGTTTGTTTGAAGTCAACGCGGGAAATGTTTGGGTGGGTTGCGGGAGAAAATGGTCATTTTGCGACAGAAGTCTTTCGCAACAGAAAATGGTGGGGACATTTCCATGAGTTATGGAACGAGGGGGAGCCCAAATCGCTTGCTTACTGTTCATGGATCGTGGCTGAGGACAGTTTTATACGGTGTAGATCGGTCTATTTGATTTCACCGCACTTCCCCATAACAGAACAGATCAGACCACAAAAAACGTGCGAAAAACGTACGAGTGGAAACCTCAACCAACCTGTGCACAGTTTGAGCAGGGTGAGAAAAAAATGAGTAACTACCAGGTCTAGACTATGTTTCCAGACTAGTATAGCTAGGTATTACGTGTGAGACCAGAGCTTCTACAAGCATACGTTTAGGCAGATACGAGCATACGTTTAGACAGATACGAGCATACGTTTAGGCAGATACGAGCATACGTTAAGTTAGGGCCTGGGCGTTTATAGGGTTTGTGGGTCGCTCCTTAAACCCGAAACCCGACCAGAATTCGTAACAGTCAGACGCGAGCCACCATTCCGATGGGAGGAGCAACGGGGGAGGACGGAGAAAAGGTGGAAACGACGCACGAAGCGGGAGTAAACGCAGGGAGCGGGGCAACAGCGCATGGGGCGGGGGAGAACGCGGGGGGGGGAGCAACAGCGCACAAGGCGGAGGAGGAGCGGGGTGAGGGGGCAAAAGCGCACGAGACGGGGGAGGAGCGGGGCGAGGGGGCGACAGTGCACGGGGTGATGCGGGAGGGGATGGCGGTGCTGATTGACGTGAACGGTGAAAAGGCGTCTTTTGCCATGCTGCAGCGCAACAGGTGCGACCTTCGCCATGCTGCAGCGCAACAGGTGCGCCTCGCAGTTTCTCTTCCCCTCATTCGCCGGCTTCACTGCCCCACCACACCACCCCCCATATTCTCCCCTCCTCCCTTCGTCCACCCTCCCCCTTTTCTTCGCTCCTTCCTCCTGTGTTCTTCTGATCCCCTCTGCCCCACCTCCCTGCACTCCCTTTTTTCCAGCCACCCCACTCTTACCGTAAACCCCTATCCCCCTAACCCCCATTATCCCCCTTCCCCCTTTTCTCAGTCTTCCACCCTCCCTGCGCCCCTCTCCCTCCCAGCACAGTGCGGTTGGGCAAGCAGTGCTGCTCCCTCGCGCCCCTCATATGCTGCCTTTTTCTCTTTTCTTCTGCTCCCCTTCATCATCTCTTCTTCCCCTGCCAACTGTTCCCCGTTTCTCCCTTCCCCCATTCCCCCCACACCTCCTCCCTCCCACGCGCTCCTCTCTCTCACCCCCAGAACCGCGCGAGTGGGCAAGCAGCAGTGATCCCTCGCTCTCCTCGTAGGCTGCGCCTATCCTGTTTCCTTCGTCTCCCCTTCATCCTCTCTTCTCCCCCTGCCAACTTTCCCCATTTCTCCTTTCCCCCATTCCCACCTCTCTGTCTCCCCCCTCCCCCTCCTCCCCTCCCCACGCCCCTCTCCCCCAGCACGGTGCGAGTGGGCAAGCAGCAGTGCTCCCTCGCGCCCCTCATAGGCTTCCCTTTTCATTCCCCCCACTTCCCCACTCCCCCCTTCCCCCATCCCCACTTCCCCATACTCCCCCCCAGCACCGTGCGAGTGGGCAAGCAGCAATGCTCCCTCGCGCCCGTTCTCAGCTGCCTTGCTTCCCCCCACTCCCCCCGCCCCTCTTCCCCTCCCCCCCCCAGCACCGTGCGAGTGGGCAAGCAGCAATGCTCCCTTGCCCCCCTCATAGGCTGCCCCTTTGGGTCTGTCTTTGAGCTGCGCATGGGGGGCGAGGAGGGCGCAAGGGGGGGCGGGGGGGAAGGGGGAGGCGGAGAGGGGGAAGGCGGGGAGGGGGGGAAAGGGAAGGACGCCGGAGGGGAGGGGGAGGATGATAAGGGCGATGGAGGGAAGGGCGGAAGGGGGAAATGGGGTGGACGGGGAGGAGGAAGAGGTGGAGGGGGGAGAGGAGGGGGGAGAGGAGGACGGAGGCCGCAGCTGGTGCGAGTGTCAAAGGAGCAACTGAGGGAAGGTGGGTGTGAGTGAGGGGGGGAGGGAGGGGGAGAGGGGGTAGGAGGGGGGAGGGGGAATAGAGGGAGTGGGGAAGGGGGCCAACCAAAGCATCAAAGCACGTTGTAGTCTTTTGTTGGAATAAGAGTTCATATGTTTCCTGACCACTGTCCATTTACCTTTCCAGATTCTCTTGCTGCCATTGGGGAGGTAGATGCTGCTGCTGCTGTTACGCCTGCTGCCACAGCTGCTGCTGATACTGCTGCTGATTCTGCTGCTGCCGAGGCTGCAAAGGGTGGTGCAGCAGAGAAGAGTGCAGAGGGGGTGAAGGACAATCGCAATTTGATGGATGATAACACGGCGCAGAAGCTATCGGCCAATGAGATTGAAGCACTCAAGAGGTGATTCGTCGAACCGATTTCACAGCTTTCACCGATTGTTTTTTCGCAAACCACTGCCTCATCCCCTCTTCCTCACTCTCCGACATCCTTCACATGGTTTCTTTCTCTCCCTTGTTGCGTCAGTCACATTTGTTTTTTTCGCCTCTTGGCTTTTCCCGGTCTGCTCGTCGTCACAGGCAAGCAGCATCGGGGCATGAGGTGGTGCGGGCACTGGCGGCCAACAGCGTCTCCTTCCACACCAAGACCGACTTCGCCCAGGTCGTGCTCGCTGCTTGCTCCTGCCTTCTGTCTGCTACTTTCCACTGCCTGCCCGCACTTCCTTCCACACCAAAACCGACTTCGCCCAGGTCATGCCGTGCCTGCTGCTGCTGCTGCTCTCTGCGTGCTCCTGTTCGCGCCTCCTTCCTCCTGTATGAATCCCACTCTCTCCTGTTCCTCAACCAATCCCTCCTCTCCCCCCCGCCCCCCCCCCCCCCCCCTCATCCTCCCCCGCGCCCGCGCCGCTCTCCAACAGGAGAAGTATCTGAGGAAGAAGCAGAAGAAGCACGCTCCGCGGCTGGTCGCCCGCTTTCCCACAGCTGACAGGTGTCGCTGCCCGCCTAACACCATGACCATGCCTCCCTGTCTACTACCCACCATGATCCTCCAAGGGATCCACCCCCGAAATACCTCATGTCAGCGTGTCTCACGTATTCACACACACAGGATCTTCATGTCATGCGTACAGCAATGCTTTCCTTTATGATGCCGTTGACGTGCTTTCCTTTATGATGCCGTTGACGTGCTTTCCTTGTACCATGGATGGATACGTCCTACGCCCCTGATACACAGTGGTGCACATGCATGCATACGCACCTCTATTTTCACACTTTGCTTCGATCAACCCATTCTAGCCATTTTCCTTTCTCCCTGTCCTCCTCTTTGCTCCTCCTCGCGCCCACATCAGCGTGTGTGAGGCCTACTTTGCCAAGGCGCCTGCCAGGATTGGGTGAGTGAGTAGAGGGGCGCATTTCCATTCTCTAGCATGGCGTGGTGTATGCAGCAGCGTGCGAAGAAGAGTACAAAGCAAGCAGGTGGGATAGGAACGTCAAAGCAGTCAATGTCATTCGGAATAGGGAAGGCGTACTGAGTGTTTGCGGGTGTGTGGCTTCACCTCGTGTCCTCTTTGCCGCATATGACCACTGTATCCTCTTGTGGGGCGCAGTAGCCTCGCAGTTCTGCTAGCCACGTACGCGTGTGACTGCTGCTTCAGTAGAATCCTCTCCCCTCTCCTCCTCAACTCAACCCATTTCCCCCGGTCCCTCTCACTCTCCCACCTATCTCCTTTCTCTCCCTGTGCGTGCGCTGCAGTGTCCACTCAGTGTCCACTGCCTGCTCACAGCATGGCAATGCTGCTGCTGGTGGGCAATGTGGCCGCCCAGTGCCCACTCAAGCTGCTTCAGGCTAGCCTTTCCCCCCTCCTCCACCCATTCTCCCCGCACCTATTGCAGCTTCCCGCGTCCTGACAGCCTGGCGATGCTGCACTCCACTCCCGTCCACCCAGTAGTGCTCCCCTGGCGAGCCTCACCTCCCTTCACCTATCTCCTGCCTTTTCTCACCCCGTGGCCTTCAGTTTCCTGCGCCCTGACAGCCTGGCGATGCTACTAGCCATGGCCAATGCGGGCGTGCACTCGCACCTGCTTCAGGCTAATCTTTCCTGCCCTTGCTCTACCCATTGCTCCCCTCTCTCCCCATGCGTGCCCTTCAGTTTCCTGCGCCCTGACAGCCTGGCGATGCTGCTAGCCATGGCCAATGTGGGAGCGCACTCGCATCTGCTAGTGCTGGATGGCACGGGTGGGCTCATCACAGCTGCTGCCGCCCAGAGGATGGGAGGCCACGGCGCCATCTGCAGCGCCTTCTATGCCTCGCATGTGTCCCACGCTCCCTCCATCGACATCATCCGCCATCTCAACCTCTCCCTGCCCGCCGCTGCCATGTCAGTTGCTGCTGTTACTGCTAACTGTTACTCTCGCTGTGAGCATCGATCGGCACCGGTGCAGCAGTTGCCTTTTGAGAATCCTCATGAGTCCACATTCCTGTTCATGCTCATTGTTACTCTTCTTGCCAGCATATGTCGAGCATCGGTGCAGCAGTTGGCATTTGAGAATGCTCACAAGTCTCCCACAAGTCAATTCCCACATTCTTGTTCATGCACACTGTTACCCTCCTTGCCAGCATTCATCGAGCATCGGTGCAACAGTTGCTGGATGCACACCACACCTGGTCGCAGCAGCAGCAGCAGCAGCAGCAGCAGCACCACACTGCAGCAGCGGATGTGCCGCAAACAGCAGAGGCTGTTGCAGCTGTAGCAGCATCGGACGATCCAGCTGTAGCTGTAGTGGCAGGAAACGGAACAGCAATAACAGAAGCCGCAGCCGCGGCAGATGGACAAACAGCAGTGGGGGTTGAAGGGGAGGAGGCTGAAGAGAGGCCTTGCAAGAGGCAGAAGGGGGAAGGGGACGAGAGTGCTGCTCAGACTGGATCAGAGGGAGCAGCCGGTGCCGAGGGAGAGAAAAAGGCAGCAGACGGTGTAGATGGGTTGAATGCGGTATCAGAGGCTTCAGCAGTGGAGAAGATGGAAGTAGAGGAGGAAACAGAGGAAGTGAGGGAAGGTGCAGAGGGAGTGAGGGAGGGTGCAGATGGAGTGAGAAGTGGGAAGAGCAGCCTGACACGGGAGGAGCGGGGAGCACAGGGAGCATTGGGGCGGGTGGCTTCAAGTGAGGTCATGCAGCAGTGGTTGAAGGAACATGGCGGATTCAGCAGGTGAGCTTGGTATCGACGCAGTGAGGGCATGAGTGTGAGGTCATTGGGTGGGACAAGCTCCACCATGCTGATTCTGATTCTCTTTTGAACTTTCTCAAAAGCGATCCCAATATTGGCATGAGGCAGTGGTTGCACAGCTACCTACTCTCTCCACCTGCGCTCACCACCACCTGTGCTCGCGTCATTTGCTGTGCCTCTGCTGCCCCGTTACACTTGCACCGATTTCTTTCGTCAACCCCCTCTGTTTCATGCACCATCCCATGCCCATGCGTCTCTCCCCATGTCCGTCTCATATGTCTCTCCATGCCTTTCTCCATCCATTCCTTCCCGTCGCTCCTCCCCAGTCTCATAGTGGCGGTGCCTGCCCTCTGCCCTTCCGCCATCCTATAGCACCTGCTGCCGCTGCTGCATCTATCCTTTCCTCAACCCCTTCAATCCCCCTGCCACTTCGCATGCCCCTCTCCGTTCCACCCCTACCCAGTCTCATAGTGGCAGCGCCTGCTCTCTGTCCCTCTGCCATGCTCACTCATTTCCATGACTCAACCCCTCTTTGCCCTACCCTTCCCTCGCCCTTCCCATGTCTCTCCCCCGCCCCTCTCCAGTCTCACAGTGGCGGCGCCTGCCCTCTGCCCCTCTGCCTGCCATGATCCCTCGATCCCATGCCTCAACCCCCTCTTTGCCCTACCCCTTCCCACGCCCTTCCCATGTTTCTCCCCCGTCTCTCCTCAGTCTCATAGTGGCAGCACCTGCTCTCTGCCCTTCAGCCGTGTTACAGCAGCTGCTGCCGCTGCTGCAGCCGTCTGCGGCCTTTGTGGTGCATCACACCACGCTGCAGGTGAGCGGGTGGATGGAGAGCAGGTGAGAGGGTGGATGGAGAGCAGGTGAGAGGGTGGATGGAGAGCAGGTGAGCGGGTGGATGGAGAGCAGGTGAGCGGGTGGATGGAGAGCAGGTGACAGGTATGAGAGTGGGTAGCACACGTATGACGCCCCTGCTGCTGGGGCTGCAGCCATCCGCGGCTTTGTGCTGCACCACACCACACCACGCTGCAGGTGAGAAGGTGGAGAGCAGGTGAAGGGGTGTGAGAACAGGTGAAGGGGGGTGAGAGCAGGTGAGGGGTGAGAGCAGGTGATGGGTGTGAGTGAGAGCACATAGCACACGTGCTGGGGGGCTGGATCGAGACATCTGACACCAGCAGCCATAAAATCTGCTGCTACCCTGGATGCACAATGTCTGGGCCTTTTCTGCTGCGCAGCCTCCCTCTCCCATTTTCTCTCTCCGCCATATGTTTCTCACTTCCGTTTTCACTATTTTCATCTCTTGGCACTGCGTCACTCTTCCCTAACCCCACTCTCCCCTTCCCCCCACCCCCCCCTTCTCCCCCCCGTATGCACCATGTGAACTAGCACAGGCGATTGGTTCCTCTTTTGAGGCACCTCACAAGTACGCCCTCCTCGTTTTCCCACCCCTTGCAGCCGTTTGCTGAGGCAATGCAGCCTTCCCTCAAGGCGCCTCAAATGCCACTCGCATCACGTGCGCGTGCTTTCCCTTCCCGCAGCCCCCTTCCTCCCCGCACGCATGCCTTTCTCCACCCCTGCAGCCTCTAGCAGAGTCGATTTGAGCATCATTTGAGGCGCCTCAACAGTAGAAGTATGCTTGCTTTGCCTTCCTTAGCCCCTGCTTGAACCCCCTTCCTCCCCACACGCCTGCCTTTCCCCACCCCGACAGCCACTAGCAGAGGCGATTCGGGAAGCACGCCTGCCTTTCCCCACCCCGACAGCCACTAGCAGAGGCGATGCGGGAAGCAAGGAGCAGCGCTCCTGCCTTTCCCCCCCCAAACCCCACTCCCCCCGCTTGCACCACATGCGCATAACGCCTTTCTTTCCGCGCCCCTCCTGCACCATGTGCTCTCACCCCACCCCGCCAGCCGCTAGCGGAGGCGATGCGGGAAGCAAGGAGCAGCGCTGTGGCATTGGAGCTCAGCGAGCCGTGGCTGAGAGAATACCAGGTGAGAGGAGGGAGAGAAAGGTAGGGAGGTGCGGGGAGGGAGGTGAGAACAGTGAGGTGAGAACAGGAGTAGCAGGTGAGAGGAGGGAAGTTAGAACAGGGATTCGTTCAGCTACCCTATGCGTTGCTAGCCTGTGCTATACAGTCTGCTCTCCCTCCCGTGCTCCCAGTCCAGGTGCTCCCTCAGAGGGCCCACCCCCACATGACCATGTCTGCCACTGGCAGCTTTTGAAACGAACCACCCCCTTAAGCCACCTCCTGTGTTTGTGCGATGCTGTGCTACCCTTCTTGTTGCCCCCAGGTGCTCCCTCAGAGGACCCACCCCCACATGACCATGTCTGCCACGGGTGGTTACCTGCTCACGGGGATCAAAGTGGTAACACCCTGAATCGGTCTCACTACAAACAGAATCAAATCTATCCAAAACATTGCTCTGTTGTTTTATGTGTGGACTTAGGTATCATAAATTTGCCAGTTGCATTCTGTTAGCCATCTCACAGAATAGCGGTAGCAAAATGGTCAGTGACTAGTGGCCGTGTGTTAATCAGGGCCTCAGATTCGTTTTGGCGTAGGCTGACTGGTCAACCTTAGGAGTGTGTTCATGGCTGATCTGTCAGTGTTGTTTAAAAACAAACTGACTTTTCAGGGTGTATATTAAAAAAAAAACTGAACGATCAGCGTCACTATTTGGTGAAGACTGAACCATTTCAAACAAGTTCTGCATTGATATAACAAACGTTTACAGGAAATCTAATTAAACATATCCTCATCCTCTTCATCATCATCACCCTCTTCACTATCACTAGAGCCTAAAGAGAGCGCCGCGGCCAGCGACGACCGCCGCCATGCTAGCTTCACGGGCAGACCGCGGCCCGTGAGGCACCATGGCGACGGGGGAAAGAGACAATCGGCGAGGCGAGGGGAAGGCGAGGCTGCGCGACGAGGGGAATGCGGGACGACTGGAGGCTGCAGGGAACGACGCGGAAGTTTGGCTCTGCGAGGGGAAAGGAAAGGGAGCAGAAAAGAAATATCTCTATCCTAAATCGTACTTACCTATTGGGCATACTGGTGTGTTGCTGCCGCACTGATGGGCTGCAGAGGAGAGCTGCAGAGGGATGCGGGTGGAGAAAATACGGAGAGGAATACGGGAAGCACGAGGGAGTGAAAGCGGAATCGCGGTTCCCTCTATCCCTCGCAACTCCCTCTCCCACGCAGCTAACTATCTCCCTCGCAGCTCACTCTCTCCGTCTCAGCCTGATCAAACGGAAACGAGGGAACCAAATGCGGGGGGCGATGAGGAGTAACGAGAAACAAATGTCTGTAGATTCGTACCTACTAAGATGGCGTTGCTGCTGAGCTGAGCTCACGGGCTGAAAAGGAGTGGGTATCCCCGTCAAGGAATATGCACGAACGAGAAGTGCAGCTCACGGGCTCACGGATCATCATACAGCGACGACCAGCTGCGACGCCAGCTTCGCTGGCGAACGCGGCCCGCACGGCGCCATGGCGACGGGGGGAAAGGGAAGCGTGGCGCAGCGAGGGGAAGGTGAGGCTGCGCGATGAGGGAATGACGCTAGGCGAGAAATACACCTGTAGAGTAGAAGAAGAACCACTTCTACTCTACAGGTGTCCAGTACAAGTGCCTTGCATCTCCAAGTGGAGGGACGAGAGGGAGGGGCTGCTGCGAGCGATGCAGGCGCCGAGAGTGGGGAGATGCTCAGAGCGAGAAAAGCGAAGGTGAAGGGAGTGAAGATCCAGGTGGGTGAGAAAGAAGCGGACGGTCTGCGACCAGTGGGGGTTTCATCTACAGTTGGTACAGGAAAGAAGAATCTCTACCGTATCCTTGAGCCAAGATACCTTCGCGAGAAGACAGCAGTGGAGTGAAAGTTCGTGAATGACCATTCCCGAATGCGTTGGCAAGGAATCTTGCCATTTCGGCGTGATTGACGGAGGGACGGTCGAACCGGTGTACCTAGACATCCGGAATTCAGGGCACCTACGCTAATCTCCATTACAGGGATTTCAGCCAACCCCTTCGTTACAACTCTGATGAGACAGCGTACACGACAGGAAAAAAGCTGATATTTCAGCACATACAGATTTAAAAACCCTGAAATTTCAGCAAACACACTTAAAAAAAAGCTGCCACAACAGCCCCACTATTCTCCCACCACTGAAATCACAGCCTTTTTACCCCTAATCAGCCTTTTTTCGCTGACTTCTGAGGGCCTGGTGTTAATACAGGCCATTAAGGGGCGTTAATAGCAAAGGTGTGGACCCACTCTGGTATCTTGCCAATGCTGCTGCACCATCGACTCAAACGGTCGAGCTAACTCCCCTGCCGTGAGGCATGCCAGCCTGCGGCTCATCTTTCCTACTTTGCACCTTTTCCGACACCTAGCTAGGCGCATGGCGTCAGGGTTCTGGTCGGAAGAGGTGTGGGTAAGGGGACTGACTGCCAGGCATGCTGCATCCATGGTGGAGTCGAACAGCTGACGCCACCCCCCTCCCAAAACAAAGCCAAATGCTCCATAACCAAAAGCTTTCTGGCCAATCCCCGGCTCGTGCGGCAGTGCTAAGATGAGGTGTGGGAAAGCCAAGAGGAAGAGTTTCACAACTTTTTCCTTGGATTGATTCTTCAACCGCTTCACGACTCAGGTGAGTATGTGCGTCCAGGACCCCAAAACGCGCACGCACTGGTTTTCCTCTGAATGCTTCCACACAGAAGAAGGCCTCCCAATCCCATGATGGAAGCTCGACCACACCCTCTCCTGTATCTCTTACAGTGTTAATCTCTCCTGTTTTCTATCCCTATCCAAAAGTAAAATTGAGCCAAGAGCATGCACACGCACATTTGCCTCTGCCGTTGGCTTGAAATAGCCCCTTTGTGGCGATCGTGTGGAAGCACGTGTCACACATAAAGGGTGGGTGTGGGGAAGGCAGCTAGTAAGGTCCTCCAATTCGTAGATGTTGACTCCTGCACTGGTGTCATGGTGGTGTCAAATGCCGCTACCTGCCACTGGGGTTCGACACGCTGCCCACAACCTCCCCCATGGCTACTGGACGCCCTTGGCTGCTGCTATCACCCCCAGCTGCCCCCCTGGATTCTGCACGCCCTATGGTGCTGCTTTCACCCTCTGTCCCCACCCTGTGGTGCTGCTGTCACCCCCTTCTGTCCGCCCTGTGGTGCCGTTGGCACCCCGGCTTCCTCTGTAGCTGCTACACGCCCTGGGATGCCGCTGTCACCCCATGCTCCCCGCCTGGTTTTTCTGCTCCCGGGAGTGTTTCTGTCAACCCCCAGTGGCGCCCCTGGCTGCTGCACGCCTTTGGCTCCAATTGTCGGCTCTAGCTCCCTACCGGGCTGCTGCACGCCCTGAAGTGCTGCTGTCACCCGCAGCTGCCACCATGGTTGCCGCACGCCCTGGGATCCTTCTGTCAACCACATCCGTCCCCTCCTCCTCCTCCCCGACTGTTGTGCGCCCTGGGGTGCCGCTGTCAACCCCTGCTGCCCTGGTTTAGCAATTAGAGTATAAAATTTTAATCTTGTTGAGAAGCATCCTGCTATAGCTCAGTTGGTAGAGCGGAGGACTGTAGTTGAGCAATCCTTAGGTCACTGGTTCGAATCCGGTTGGCGGGACGTCTGTTGATGTTTAGACATTTGGCCTTTCTGGTTATATTTTCGCTGACGTTTGACCTTGTTGATCTTTGTTGGCCTTTTTGAGCATACTCTCAAATTATCTCATTAGGGTACACTCTTGGCCGGTGTCAAAATTTATGACACAAGGCTATCAACAGCTCCGATTGATCCACGACATCATCAATCAAATCCATAACCCTGTACAGCTTCGTGATGGACCACATGACACCGGCAGAGAACGTACCCGTAGTGAACTAGGTCAAAGGTAGCTTTGGCCACTATGAATTCTCTATGAAATGCTTCTAAGCAATAGACAAAACAAAGTGATTGCGTTGTTGACATACTGCAATAACCCATTTGGAATGAACATGGCAGTTTCAAGGAATACATGAGCTGGGCTACCAGTAAGGTGACCCCCGTCGGACTAGCCCGACTTCTCCTTGGGCCCAAACAGGATTGGCTCCGGCCCTTGCAGCCTGGTTGATGCTCAGCTCATCCTTCCCATTCTCTGCAAGAAGCTATCTCTACTCCATCTGAGATCAGATAAAGGCGTTCGAACGGGGCTGGCTTGGGCCCGAATGGGACAGGCTTGGACCCAAACGGGACCAGCTTGGGCCTAAATGGAACTGGCTCCGGCCCTGGCTTATGCTCATCCTTCCCATTCTGTGCAAGAAGCTACTTTTGCTCGAAAGGGGTTATTTTAAATTTCAGACACCATCCACGATAAGATAAAGCCCTTGATCTCCACGATTGGCGCACGAGGGAGGGTGATAGTATAGTACGCACACATGTACTTGTCGCCATAAGCGCATCGAGGCAGGAACGTTCCTCTTGCAGGCTCGCATTAGTGGATAGTGCATGAGAGGCAGCGTTTAGCAATGTATGAGAGGAAGAAAGGCAGAAAGAAGCCTTTGGAAAGCCTCAATGCTCCTGAACGTCCGGCATTGCAGCAGCCGTAACAGCAGCCGCTGTCGTCGCCTGTGACTGCACTTCGCCCTTGGTCTTTCTTACACTTTGACTGACCAACCACCTCCTCCCCCCTCACAGTCTCTTCCAGTCTATGGTCCCACGTTTCCTCCTGTGGTCTCATCTCCGGCTCGTCTTTTTCTGCGTTCACAGCAGTCGCCTCCTCTGTCTCCTGACCTGACTCCTCCCTCCCACCACAGGGTCTAACGTCCCTCTCGTGCTCGCCCTTTGTCTCCCCTTCCCGGTATCCACACTATGCTCCTCCGCTCTTGTTCCTCTTGTATCCTGTCACCCATTTTTCTCATGTCGACTCCTTCGTTGTCCCATGCTGTCTCATCTCCCCCGTTTTCTGATTTTCTCCTGTCAACTCTCCCTACAGTCTCTCGCGTCCTTTAATCCCTCATTACCAACCTCACTTCTCCTCCCCCATCAGTCTCTGCACTTGTCACTGCTGTCACTGACTTTGCCTTCACTCGGTGCCTTGACTGCGCCACTCAGTTAGTCTCAGCTCCTGCCCATCCTCCGTCCATCGGAGGTTCACATGCCCTTGGCAGTGACGTCCTAGAAGATAGGCAGTACCAGATGGCTTTCCTTGTGGCCGTTTCTCCTCCTTTGCGCCATGCTGCCTGCCCCTGAGGTTGACCCTAATGCTCTTGATATCTCGACCCTTCGCACCAACGCTGAGGCAGACTCGGGACCCTGTGCCTCTCAGTGGATAGCAGCCATGGACGCAGAGATGGCATCTTGAAGGTCCACACGCACCTACGTCGACGTTGTTCCCCCTCCTTGGGCAAACTTAGCGATGGCATATGGATCTTCAAGCTAAAGCGAACACCTAGAGAGCCGCCTGTCTTCAGGGCGCGCTACATGGCTAGAGGCTTTAGTCAGCGACAAGGAGTATACTTCTTTCAAAACTTCTCCCCCACCCCAAAGATGACCACTCTTCGGATACTATTGCACATCGCAATGCGGCGTGACTACGAGCTTCACACGCTTGAATTCTCTACTGCCTTACTCCAGGGCAGCCTGTAGGAGCAGATATGGCTCCGCTACCCACCTAGATTGACAGGATTTTTTCTTTGTGGGACTTAGTGGAGCCTTCAACGGCCCATCTACGGTCTGCGTCAAGCTCTTCATGAGCAGCACGACTCACTGCGCACTGCTCTGGCCAACCTCTGCTTCTTCACGTCCTCTGCTGACCCATCTCTCTTCGTTGGCTTTGGCTCTACTTTGCTCTACATTCTTGTCTATGTAGACGACCTAGTCTTTACTACTGCAGGCAGAGTTGCACTGGCCTCGGTGAAGGCTGCGCTTCTTAGGAGACACTTGCACTGACCTAGGTGAGTTGTACCGCTATCTTGGCTTGCAGATCACTAGGGACAACCATCACTCTCACTCAGTCACACATGGTGCAGGAGATCCTCCAGCTCTTCAACCTTCAGTTTTCCTCTGCACAACCCACTCCTTTGCCTATTGGCCATATGCTCTCTGCCCCTGTTCCTCATGAGCTTGTTGAGCACAGTGGTCAATACGTAAAGCTAGAGGTGCCTCATGTACCTGATGATTCGCAGTCGCTCGAATCTCGCATATCCTCTCAACATCCTTGCTCGCTTTGTTGCAACTGGAAGACACTAACCTTGAGCACTGTAAGCTCCTAAGATGGTGTTGAGCTATTTGGCTAGTACGTCACGCATTGGGCTTGCGCTCGGAGGACGACCGCCAGTTGCACTCACGAGACACACTGACGCGTCATGGGCAGACAAACATCAAGACTCGCAGGTCCTCTCGAAGCTATTGCTTGAGCCTTGGTGCAGGTCCGGAACCCTGAACGCCCATTCGCTCGCCATCCGTGGCACAGTCTAGCTGTGAGGCAAAGACGCTAGTGCAATGGCTACTTTGGAGCTCCGTTTGCTGACATTCTTGCTCGCCGACATAGGTGAGCCGCCTAGCTCTGCCTAGTCTTGTTCGCTGACAACAGGGCCATAATCCTCCAGTGTCTGGAGCCTAGATTAGGGGCAGAGTGAAGCACATTCAGCTTCGATACTTCATGCTACGTGAGCTGCAGCAGCGCAGCCAGACATGCGTGGTACACTTGACCTCAGGAGCCAAGACCATTGATATCTTCACTAAGGTGCTTCCGCCTCGTGATCACCAGCAGTTTCGCACACATGCTGGTCGTGTCTCATTAGGGCGTCACTTGTTAGGAACCTGAGCTCTGTATGTTGTACTTGTTCTAATATTGCCTTGTAATACTCATTTACTGGCCTTGTGGCCTTTTGCCTTAGAAGCTGTGCTACTAGTACGTGTCAACGGGAGTTATTGTTGGCCCCGTTCTCGGTTGGGCAGAGCCGACCTCGGGGTCGGGTGTGAGGAGTGCAGCCGGCCTGCAACAGTGGGCGAGCTGGTCGACGGGCCTTGTCGACCTGCACAAGGGCCACTTCAAGGGCGCCGACTTGGGGAGGGCGCCAACTTAGGCAGGTCGACTTGGGAGGTCGACTAGTGGAGGGCGTCGACTTGGGTGACGCCGACAAGGGGAAGCCGACAGGGTGTGGTTGGCTGACAGGTGTACTGGTCGACCTGGAGTTGGTTGACCAGGTGGGTTGTCGACCTAGAGTTGGTCGACCAGGGGAGTGGTCGACCTGGTGTGGTCGACTTGAGATGGTCGTCGACCTGGGCGGTCGACGGGCCTAGGATGACACACCTGGTCGACATGGTTGCCTGCTTGACCAGGTTACCCGGATGACGAGGTCTGCGAGGTTCGCGACTGTCACCCAGCTAGATTGGCAATGTCGACTTGCGGTTCGGTGG